ATCCCCATAGTGCATGCTCAGACTTCCAGAAAGTTTCTGATAAATGCTGCATGAAAGGCTGCTACACAGTGTAATACAGCGAGTATTGTAAATAGCTCTTGAAGCTGGATAAAAAATTACTTGAAAGTGATGAAAAACAGAGAGACATTAGGAAATGCTAAAACAAAACAAAATGCTGGGGAGACTCAGCAGGTCTGGCATCACCTGTCGTGAGAGAAACAGAGTTAATGTTTTAAGTCCAGTAATCTTTTGAAAGGTCAGAGGACTTGGAATGTTAACTCTGCTTTCTCTCCACAGATGCTGTCAGACCTGCTGAGTTTCCCCAACAATTTCTGTTTTGTTTCAAATTTCCAGCATCCGCAGATCTTTGTTTTTATTTTAAGGAATGCCAGGTCGGCTAAATATGGAGTAGAACATAGAACAGTGTAGCACAGTACAGGCCCTTCAACCCATGATGTTGTGCTGAACTTTTACCCTAATCCTAAGGTCTATCTACCTTCCACCCCTACCTTATACTATCATCCATATGTCTATTTAATAGCCACTTAAATGCCCCTAATGAGGCCGACTCCACTACCCGTTCCGGCAATGCATTCCACGCCCCTACCATTCTCTGAGTAAAGAACCTACCTCTGACGTCTCCCCTATATCTACCTCCACTCACTTTAAAACTATAGTAATAGCTACCTCCACCCGAGGAAAAAGTCTCTGGCTGTCCCCTCTATCTATACCTCCGATCATTTTGTACACCTCTATCAAGTCACCTCTCATCCTTCGTCATTCTAAAGAGAAAAGCCCTGCCTCTCTCAACCTTTCCTCGTAAGACCTTCCCTCCATTCCAGGCAACATCCTGGTAAATCTCCTCTGCACCTTTTCCAACACTTCCACATGTATCCTGTAATGAGGCAACCAGAACTGGACACAATACTCCAGATGTGGCCGAACCAGGCTTTTGTATAGCTGGAGCATAACTTCACGGCTCTTGAACTCAATCCCTCTATTAATGAAAGCTAACACATCATACGCCTTCTTAACAACTCTATCCACCTGGGTAGCAGCTTTCAGGGAACTGTGGACATGAACCCCAAGATCCTTCTGCTCCTCCACACTGCCAAGAATCTTTCCGTTAACCCTGTATTCTGCTTTCAAGTTTGTCCTTCCAAAATGAATCACCTCACACTTTTCAGGGTTAAACTCCATCTGCCACTTCTCAGCCCAGCTCTGCATCCTATCAATGTCCCTTTGTAACCTAGAACAGCCCTCCGCATTATCCACAACTCGACCCACCTTCGTATCGTCTACAAAATTACTAATCCACCCTTCCACTCCTTCATCCAAATCATTTACAAAAATCACAAATAGAAGAGGACCCAGAACAGATCCTTGTGGTACACCACTCGTAACTGAGCACCATGTTGAATATTTTCCATCCACTACCACCCTTTGTCTTCTAAGGGTCAGCCAATTCTGCATCCAGTCTGCCACATTTCCCCCTATCCCATGCCTCCTTACCTTCTGCATGAGCCTACCATGGGGAACCTTATCAAATGCCTTACTTAAATCCATGTACACCACATCCACTGCTCTACCTTCATCCACGTGTTTGGTCACCTCTTCAATAAGGTTTGTGAGGCATGATCTACCCCTCACAAATCCATGCTGACTATCACGAGTCAAACTGTGCCTTTCCAAGTGATCATAAATCCTATCTCTCAGAGCCCTTTTCAATAATTTGCCCACCACTGAAAGTAGTCTAATAATTTATATGTGGCCTGTCATGCTTCCAAACCGGACCACCAAACTGACAATGCAACCTGGCTGTGACCAGTAACTTTTTTTTAAAGTAAACAACATCTGAAATTGAGGTACTTACTAACAAACCAACAATAAATGTTAACAACAAAAACAGAAATTGGTGGAAAAGCTCAGCAGATCTGGCAGCATCTGCAGAGAGAAATCAGAGTTAACATTTCAGGTCCAGTGACCCTTCCTCAGAACTGACTCAGAATTCAGAACTTCCTTACAACATTAAATGTCACAAAACAAAATTAGGACAGTAATACTGCCCACCGCACAACTCTATTTCTAATTGGATGTTGGAGTGTATCTGACAGAAATATGGGTAACAGACACTAGTCAAGCATCCCACAGAGGACATCAGATGTGATCAAGGCAGATCCTGTAGATTTTTCAGTGATCCCTCTGTGTTCAAACTTTACAAGGGATTTAAAACTTTTACAAGGGGTTCCAATTCTTTGCTGTTGAAGACCCAGCTTGGGAACTCCCTCAGAAGCTGTTCTGTCATGGACAGTCTCAACAACTACTCACTTTCAGGTAGCTCACTCTCCCAAACAGGACTGCACTCCCCTCTGGATTCTGCAAACTACTGTCAGCACCTATTTACAGGTACAATTTTAGTTTATCTACAGGTATCTGGCTTTACCAAACTGGTACTTCCATGTGATCTTCATGCTTTATCTTGCTCAGATGCACAACACAAATACTATTTGTGGGCTTCCAGCACCCTTGGTCTCAGTTGTCATGAACTAAACAGCACATGGCTTCATACAAGCTCCCACAGTTCCTGTGACCTTCCTGAGACCTAATCCCAACATTTAGCTGCACTTCCTGGCTTCCTGTACTTGTCCAGAGTCCTAACAGTTTGGAACCTGCTGTAACAGCTCTGTCACAGCCTCATTTCCTACATCTAAGTACCTGAGCGGTAATCCAAAAACAGAAAACATCTTCTTTCCCAGTTTCCATGCAACTGCTTACAAATCATTGTCAGTAGGCCTTAAACTGTTCTGAGTAACCTATTGGAAACCTTGCAGCAAGTCCTGTCCTTGTTCCTAGGCAATGATAAATGGAAACAATATTTTGATAAAAATCTAATATAGAACTCCTTGGAATTATCTTTTCCCTAATTGCTACAATATTCATAGACTACTGGTTTGCAAGTAGAAAATGTATCCAAAAAGAGGATTTGATGACAAGCCCAGTGTTATTGATCCGCATTTAAGACATCCTTGTGCTTGCACAAAGGGGTATTTTGTCTTTAGTAAGATATGGAACATATTTGCATCGAAGAACAAAAATTGGGTCAAACCTTACTGATTCACTGATTCAGCAGTAAGATTAATGTTTTTAACAATGTCTGATGCAGTGAATCGTACTCCTTTGTTAAGCTGTGAAGGTGCATAATCCTTAGTTCCTAATTAGTTTTGCTCTGTACCCTTTTATTGTGTTCACCATGTTCAGCAAGAGAGAAGGAAACTGATCAATGATTGTATGGCATTGTGCTTTGGTGATGTGCTCGCCTCAGTTGAATTAAGGCAGGTATGTGGTGGCAGAGAGGCTAGGCCAACCACATTGATAGATGCCTTAAGGGTAAGCTGCAGTATTTGGATGTTTGGTGAGAATGTAGAATATCTGTTTTTTTTTACTTAGTCATGGGATGAGGGTGTCGCTGGCTAGGCCAGCATTTATTGCCCAGAGGACAGTTAAGACTCAATTATATTGCTGTGGGTCTGGAGGCACATATAGGCCAGATGAGGCAAGGACAACACTTTCTTTCCCTAAAGGGCATTAGTTGACAATCGACAATGAATTCATGGTCATTGTTAGTTTCATCTTAAATTCCAGAATGTTTTTAATGGATTCAAATTCCACCTGGGTCTTTGGGCAATACTTGTGAAAATACCATTAGGCCATTTGAACCCATGTCCCCAGAATATTACCTGGGTCTATGGGTAATACCAGCGATAATATCACCAGGCCATTGTCTCCCCACCACTGCTGCTAGCTGAGCGATGGAGATGTGGTGCATTGAGCATTGTGAGATTCTTGTGTTGTGGTGCGTATGAGCTGTCATATAAAGTTTCATTCACTAGCTGTGACCGTCCCTACAAGGTCACTAAACTCCTTGTGGTACTGCTGCCTGATACTTGGGTGCAGAATTTGGGAATTGTCCTCCCAATTCATTCAAAGAGTCCACCTCTAGGATCTCCTAATCTCCGGGAAATCTTGGCATCTTCCCTCCTGCGCATCTCCAACACAATGGTCTCCTGTGCCCCATCACTAATGCTGGATCCATTTCTGTGCCCTGCACTGTGTTCTCCTTAGCTATGGTTTAAGTAACAGCCTTTAATGCAGCATTCCTTTAAGAGAAACAGATCGCCTTTGAGAATAGAAATCTGGTTGCACCCCTGCTTTTAGTACAAACTTAACCAGTAACAGAGGAGCAGCTCGACCCTTTGCTCACATCAGATAATTGAATGAACTGCCATGTGTTTGAGGAACATAAGGACATAATAAATAGGAGCAGGAGTAGGCCATCTGGCTTGTCGAGCCTGCTGCACCATTAAATAAGATCATGGAAAAACAAGAACAATGAAATTGTCTTTAGGCAGTGACATTATAGTTCATTCATACGAAGTTTCCAGTTCCTCAGCTTACTATGGCTGAAAGATTTAGACTGTGGCCTTTCCCTATTGTGCCTCTGCAATGTCTGTCCCAAGTGTTGGTGCATCTGTCAGCAAATCACCCTAGACCTTGAAATATACCAGTCTGCAATGTTTGGTTGGACACAACCTTTTGCACTGAAAGGTTAGAAAGTATCAGGCAGCCAAAAGAGAGTGTTTCTCAAAGTTTTCTGGATGGAGTTGATATTTCTCTTGGAGTACATCCTTGGAACAGCCTATAGAGCACAAAGAGTGCTGTCTCACAGAGCCGCTTTTGATGGAGAACAGATTATTTGGTCTTTATTGACCAACAGAAGCAAATGCAGAGAATAGATTTTAGGACTTAGGTCTCTGAGATATGGCCTTTCCACAGTAAGATGCGTATTAGAAATTTGAGTCTGCAAAGTTGTCTATATTTTATATGAATTCCCAAATCACAGTGTCAATTCACAGAAATTATCCACAATAATTTGGATGAAAGATCAGTCCACAAATTGTTTCTTTACCTTTCTTAAAATAATGGAGTTATTCTCTATCAAAATAAGAAAGCCAATGGTTTTAACTTCAATACAACTTTTTGGTTCCAGATTCTGGGATGTTTTCATTTGTAAGAACATATATGCAAATCTTAATGTGGAACACATCTCTTTGACTGGATAAAGTTAAACTGCTTCCAGCATATTTGTGCCTTTATGCCAGTGGTAATAATGGTCTTTTGACCAAATATCAACCCCAACCCACTGTAGAGTTCTCGGACTAGTTTGCAGTTCATAAGTAAACGTAACGTGGCCATCTGAAATGCTTATTCATTGTAATAATCACTAATTTTACATCCAATTCATAGGAACACCAAGGACTGTCCAACACTGAGGCATTGGCTATATTACATGACCAATTGTCTGCACTTCTATCAGACCATAAAAATGTCAAAAGGAAAGAACATGGAAGGTATTTAGGCATGACTTGCTAATCTATATAAAGAAATAGCAAAGTAGTTGGAGTGGCAGTCCATTGGAGACAGCTCACAAATATATGAATACTCACAGTAGAAAGGAAAATATAATATAGAATACCATAAGAGATAGAAAATCATTGAAGTTGTTTGTATACTGATGAAGAGAAATCAATCAAATAAGTTTCAAGAAAAGTTGTTGACGGGAAATAAATTTCCATCAATGGAAAGAAGATGGAAAGAGCAACAACAATTCAACAAAGAGAACCAGTGGCAGAGTGAAGCTCTGGCAATGAATACTGAAAACAGTATCAAATTCTTAGACAGTCAGAGAGTAACGTTTAGCCAAAGCAGGTCCCTGACATGGAAGGCAGAGAACACTGAACCCTGAACCCGTGTAGCTGCTGGAATGAATTTAATTCCCAATCCTCAAGGTCACAATATCGGTAATTGTATTCAAACTTTAAAAATATTAGTAAACCAACACAGTCCCATTTGTATTGTACTCAAGTCATTGTGCTTCGGAAACATGTTGGCCACTTGAGACTGAAAGTGGACAGACTGTAACGTGGAAAAGTGTGAGATAATTCACTTTGGATTTGGGGAAGAGAAATTGGAATATTTGCTGAACAGTGAGAGGCTCAGAGCTGTGGAAAAGATCACATGGATTAAGGTGTCCACGTGATTGCAGCTCAAAAAGTGACCGCATACGAAGAACAGTAATCTGAAAGATTAATAGAAGGTTGTTCTTTAGCTCATAGGGATTAGAATATAACGATGAGTAGATAATGCTTTGGTGGCATAGAGACTTTCTCAATTGCAATTGGAATATTGTGGTCACAGTTAGGCATGAAACACCTGAAGATTAATGTTAGGTTTCAGGAGGAGACAGTGCAGAATCAGCAACACCTTTGCGCGGTTTCATGAGAAGCATTATGATGCCAGAGTGTAAAAACTTGCTTTGGATTTTATTGAATTTAGAACCTTGAGGATTGATCTCTTGAGTTTTGTTTTTAAATAAATAGTTAAGGGACTCAATAGGGAAGAAACAGAGAGACTACTTCATCTGACAATCAGGAATTTGGAACAAGTAGGTGCAATCATAAATTTAGAGCAGGGCGCACTTAGGAGTGACGTTGTGTTATTTTTTTGCTTACTTCACTTTTATTTTTGTGTACTCCATTAGACGATCTGGAGAAGTAGTTTTTTGCACCATTCAAATCGCTGGTCAAGCTTCCATTGGCCAGGAGCATTGCTGTTGCTCCTGGCAACCATTGCCCTAGCTGGCTGCTATCATATTCAGTCACCTAAGAGGTAAGGAAAACTGAGCAATTCCCCATGCAACAATAAAGTTATCCATTTGAGCAAATGTAGCCAATCACGTCTTTCTTTCAACAACGAATAATGTAAGTCTGATTTCTGTATGATTCAGTTTTATCATAATAGCCAGTTCCTGAGCAAGTAACCAGTGAATCACTTTCCAAAGACTTATGTAGGTTATTGGAACATTTGCATCAGCTTTTCAAAGCTGAGGCTTTAACATTGTGGGCGGTTTCAGCATATTGTCTGCAGCTCATACATAGAAGACCCCAGCATTAAGAGATTGCGGTGTTGAAGGTGTTATTTTGTCAGCACTTTCTGATCCAGCATAAGATGTTCAAGTGGCATGCAAAAAGCCTTTAGAAGGAAGCAATATGTAGAATCTCCTCAAAATGAGATCAGAAGTCTATTGTGCAAAAATTAGATCAGTGTTTAGTTTCACCTGCAGCTGACATTAAGTGATTATTTTTCACATGAGAAAAGACAGTAATTGCTGGCAGACCTTTCATCCACACCATGTGTCATAGCTGAGCCTGATCCTATCTTTAGCCAGCAGTCAGATACTTGTACTTCGAGAAATGGTTGGAGAATGTTGATGTAGCTGGGGCTCAATGCGTTGTACATTTCTCTCTGAACCAGAAGACAGTGAGTTCATGTCCTGCTTCAGAAAGTTTAGTATGGTACCCAGGCTGTCTCTCCCCAGTGTATTGCTGAAGGCACTGCTGCGCTGCCTCAGGAGATATCTTTTGAATATACTGTTCAACCATGTTCTTTCCATTGGATGGAAAATATCCCATGGAGCAGTGAAGTTCTCCATGCGTGACTTAATCAATATTTATTCCTTCAACAAAAGCTGAAATATTACCCAATAATTGTCACATTGTTATTTTTGCTAACTTATATGCAAATTGGTAGCAATGTTTTCTACAGTGCAGTGCTTCAAAATTATTTCATTAGCTGCAAATTGCTTGGTGTATCTTGAAGTTATGAAAGGTGTTAACAAAACAAAACACTTATATTGGTCTGTTATTTGTTCTTATAACTTCTTTTCTCATTCTGAATAGAAGGACAAATAGCAGTGCTTTTGTTGACTGATGCTACTTAATTTACAAAATACCAGGAATCCTGCTGATTTTCTGCTTTCCTCTCAGCCCAACTCTCTTTCATTCCCTCACTGAAGTATGGTTGGGTAGACAAAGGAATTTAAAGGCACAATTTTGCTGGACCTTTTCACTTTCAACAATTAATCATCTTTCACTTCGCAACAAAAAAAAAGTTTTGAAAGTGTGAGATAAGTTCGTCTCAGTCTGTTTGGTGGCATTATCAATCAAGTTGAAACAAATCTTTGCTAGTTGTAAGTGTTTAACCAAGTTAGTTACTACAATTTATTAATTCGACCTGCTAACATAGTAACACTCTGTAATGTCTAACTCTTCCTCTTTTTCTCAGTCAGGACCTGAGACTCATTAATGAATCTGCACTGCTTTTCTTCCTTGTGATAAACCTAAGTGCAATTGGACTGCAGCAGTGGCTAAAATGTCAAGAGATCCCACAGAGGGTCCAGGCTATTCTGCAAAGAATAAAGGGTAAAAAGAGTTCATGTTGTGATGGTAGCTCAGAGCCAATTGACAAATAGATATATTAATACTGTTTGTTTCACTATACTAATATGAGTGCTCTTTAAGTTTTAATTAGGACTCCAGAATTTGGAATGAATGATTTTTGTCATGAACTGTACAATCCTCCTTTGGATTCCATATCTCTCCAATGGACCTACAGAGATGGGCAATTGGTAAATCTGCCTGCTAGTATGCTGGTTGAGGGAGATATTATAGCCCTGAGACCAGGGCAGAAAGCACCAACATCTCTTAGAGGAATTGAGGTAACTATTCACACAATATTGAATTGTTTACTTATTTAGATTTTATACAGTTTTGACATTTAAAAAAAATTATTCATGATTTGGGTGTCATTGGCAAGGCAAGCAAGGCACACATCCATCCCTGAAAGTAAAGGTAAAGTCACCAGCATTGTACCAGGCCATAGGGTTGCTCTGCCATTAGAGAGAGATGACTGGTGCTAATTAAATCTGAGGGTCATCACACCTCAGGGCGAGGGGAGAGGATGAGAAGGAGAGTCCTACATTGTAATCTCAGCTGGTGCAAGAAATGAACCTATGCCTTTGGTATCACTTTGCATTGCAAACTGTGGCGGCCTCCTGGCCTGGCATGGTGGGACCCGTCCTGACATATCAGCCTCTCAGCCTGGAGTGGTGGGCCTCGGCCTGACATAGCAGCCTCCTGCCCTGGCGTGGTGGACCCTGGCATGGTGATCTTCCAGTAGTACGTGGCAGTCTCTCGGCATGGCATGGCCTCACTGTGGTGTCCTGGTCTTGAAGGGATTCCCGAGCAATCTTCCAGCCTCATGAACCTTGAGTTGAAGCCCAGCGCAGTCTGGAGTCAAGGCCCAGTACGAACTGAAGGCTAAGTGCTAGCATGCCTGGGTTGGAAGATCATTGTTCTGAACTTTTATTTCTACAATGTTGGACTTCTTATATTTCTGTATTTTCTAAGATCTTAAAACTGAGGAAGCAGTACATAGGTACCTTTGTATTTAAGATGGTGCTGTAAACGGCGACGTATAAACTTTTCACTGTACTCATTTGAGTACATGTGACAATAAAGCTAATTCAATTCAATTCAATCAACTGAGCTGATACAAAGGAAATGACTGCTAAAAGAACATACAGCTGTGTAACATTCTGCAAGGGGAAGGAAGAAACCTAACTGATTACATTTTGTTTTCCATATCTATGTTTACCAAGAGGTTGCTGGCACTTGGTAAGTTTGTTACTTCCTTTCTTTTCCCAAACTCTCTTCTTAAACCAGCTCAGCTTGATTGTGCTCTCCTTGGATCAATAAGAGAGCAGAGTTAGGGCAGAATGTTTCAGTGTTTGACATTTAAATGAACTTTCCACTAGCCGTCAGGGAGCAAACAGGCAAAAACTGGGCACTCACGTCCATTCTGTGCCTTTGCAGAGCTTTAGCAAATTCAGAACTATCTACTTGCTGATGTGCGTCCTGCTTTTAAAGAGCAATAAGTCATGATTCTCCGCTTCCATGTAGGATGAAGAACATGTGATCTTGGATAGAGATGACATCTTTTGCCAGTTCTCCTCTCCTCCATCACCAGTTCAGAACAAAAAATCTCACACCCACAGTCTTCTGAAGCCTCATCCTTTCAGAGTAACTAAAACACCAATGGTTGAGAATATCCAGTAAGTACAACGATGAGGTTCTGGTCTTTATCCACTCAAGAAGACAATGGTTACATTGATTGAATGATGAGGCCAGGCCTCCTCCCACTGTCAGACCTCTTACTCTTTTTACTCTTAAAACCTGCTCCCCCTCTTGCAATGCCATTATGGTTTGATGCTAAGGTCAACCTTAGTCATCAGTTTGTTCTCACTTGGAGTGTAATATTGTTTAAATAAAGGAGAAAAGCAAAAAAAAAGTTGCTGGTTGATACCTGTTATTATTACTGAAGATTAGGTTGGTACGATGATTTATTACAAAAAATATTCATACGATGAAAGCATGCACAGTGTAAAATGATTATCTCTCAACACTTCCTCTGATCTTTGTTCCCTCTGTAATGTGTTGTCAACTTCCTGTTTGAATCCTTCTGACTGCACTTTGTAGCATTAATATCCATACACCCACTTTGTGCTAATGAATGTGATTTTTTTTTAGGCCGCATTTACTGGAACCCAGAAGCATGCCTAGTCGTGGTGAAATTTCTGAAATAAATTGAAATAAAGAATGATATAACCCAAACAAACCCTTAAAAATGAAAAAAATGTATATAAGATGAAGTGTAGAAAATATTAAACAATGCAGAATTATTCTTTTAATTTTAAAGTAATCAGCAATATCAGAGGTGGATGTATGCAATCAGAATTTATAACCAGATTGTTGGTGTCAGGAGACATTCTTTTTCTTAACATTTCTTTTGCAATGTTTATTTCTTTTCAGATGCATGTTATACAAATACAACAATCAAATTTTATTAAAATGTGAGAATATGAGCGCCCTGGCATCCCCTACAATTTAAAGCATTAATTTTCTTTGTTTCATAGGCGGTGCCTTGAATTGGGACAGGAAAGACCTGTGACTGTACTGAATAATGAACGCTTCACTGCTTAGAGGCTTCTCGAGAAATACGTTGCTCCAATGGTTTTGGTATGACTGACCTATAGGGAGATCATGGTTTTGGTTGTAATGAACTCGACTTCAGGATTTTAAGACTGAATTTCCAGCAATGCAACTTTTCCATGGTCCTGTCCCCCAAACGTTTGAGCACATATTCCAGGCTAATACATGACACATGTGTGCAACAATAGGTTGTACCTCCCTAATCCGGCAACACTGGGACTGGGCCATTTGTGGATCAGGTCACATTTCCAGGTCAAAATTGTAGTAAGCCAAAAGCAAGTTTGGCTTTAGCATCATGGTCAGTTACTGATGCTCTGATGAAACCTGTTAAGTCATCAAAAATATTGAATATGTTCAATGCACAAACACTTTATTCCACAATTGAGTAAAGATCTCATCATGATTTCCTATGATCCACATGTCTAATTTAAAAACTGGACATTGTTACAACCAGATCCCTGATGAAGTTCCCTAAGTTGTTAAGGTTCCAAACACGATACCCAAAATTGGCAAGCTCCCAGCTTCTTTACTCACCTGTCCCCTTGGTTGGTCACAACAAAGTTCTTCCCTCACTTGTGGACACCATTCTCCCATACCAAATGAATGTGTGTTTTAAGAGGAACCAATTTAACTAGGCCTTCTTGGGTTAACAAAAGAGTGAGTTTATTCAATACAGGATATAGGAACATAGAAGCAGGAGTAGGCCATTCAGCTCTTCAAACCTGTTCTGGCATTCAATAAGATCATGGCTGATGTGTGACCTAACTCCATATATTTGATTTAGCCCATATCCCTTCATAGTTTTGCCGAATACAAATGTATCTATCTCAGATTTAAAATGAACAACTGATCCAGCATCCACTGTCATGTGTGGAGGAAAACGCCAAACGTCTATTAGTTACTAAACACAAGAAGAGATAAAAATGCAACACATAGACATGGATTAGGAATAAGAAGTGAGCCCAAATAGTTAGAAATTTTAGAACAAATACAGGTAAGACTGAGCCATTCATGAAGAGAGGTTAGTAGAAGATTGAGGTTGTTGCAGTAAATATTACTGATAACATCAATGTTGATCATAGAAGAATCAATTCTGAGATTCTTGGCTTTCCGGATGTATTGAGATTCTTTTGCCCTCATCTCTTTCAACAGTGGCTGGTTGTTAACACTCAAAAGTGAGAGAGAGTCTTTTCCCTTTCTTTAACTGCAGTGTAGGAGTGTGTAAAGGCTATTCTCTAACCTTTATAACACAACCATCCACAAATAGGATATCAGGCCACTAACACACAACTGTTGAAGTTCACTTCCGGCTCTGCATTCTTGAAAGGGGACAATATAAACAAGTCTTCCACATGGGCTGCTGTCCTTTTTTTTCAATCATCACATTTAATCTAAGATGCTCGCAAGGGGATATAGTGCAGCTTGTAACCCATTTCTCCCTTTGAGGCTTTTTTGACACCTATGGGGGTGACATTCTAACTTCTCCTCTCTTTCTCTCTCGACAATCACTGAATTTACATCCATACTCATTTGTTGGCTGTAACTGTCCTCTTTTTTAAAAACATATTGGAATTAAAAGTTTAATATATCCATAAGTGATCAGGGGTTTTCATCTGGAGTCATAGATTCATACAGAATAGAAACAGATGTTTTGGTCCAACTTGTTCCTGTCGACCAAGGTTCCCAAACTAAACTAATCCCAGCAATTTCTGTTTTCATTTCTAATTTGTAGCATCAACAGTTCTTTTGGTTTTTATAATAATCCTACTTTCCTGCATTTGACCCTTATCCCTCTAAACCTTTCCTATTCATGTACCTGTCTAAATGTTTTTTAGATGTTGTAATTGTACCTGCATCAGTTTAGGGTATCTCGTTGGCGTGTTTCTGAGTTTCCCTACCCTGAGGTAAAAAAACCCTTGCTATTCATCTTATCTTTGCCGCTCATGATTTTATGAACCACTATAAGGTTCCCCCAATAAGCTCCAGTGGAAAAAGTCCCAGCCTATCCAGCCTCTCCTTATAACTCAAATCCTCCATTTCCGGCAACATCTTTGTAAATTTTTTCTGCACCCTCTCCAATTTAATAATATCCTTCCTATAGCAGGATGGCTAGTTTGTACACAGTACTGAAAAGTGGCCTCACCAACATCCTGTGAAACAGCAACATGATGACCCAACTCATATACTTAATGGTCTGAGCAATGAAGGCAAGCGTGCTAAATGCCTTAAAGCAGGATTTCAGGTGTGCAAACTGGACAGAGTGAAACAAGGATAGCACGAACAACGATCACTGCAGAGCTATTCAATGCCACTACAAGGAAAACTGGAGCCATTGCCAGTGCTGGTCCACAAAGATTGTCAGACCTGAGAGTTCCAGATTAAGGAGGTACAATCTGTATCACAGTTGCCATCTTTCAGATTACATCTTAAACCAAGGCCACAATTTTCTTTTCAAGTGAAGTGGATTCCACAGTACAATTTCAAAAAAAAAGCACAGATATTCTCTCAAATATTTCAATGTCAATATTCCTCAAACAACATTATAAAATAAATCTGAGGTTTTGAGAAAGGGTCACTGAACCCGAAACGTTACCTCTGATTTCTCTCCAGAGATGCTGCCAGACCCTGCTGAGCCTTTCCAGCAAATTTCTGTTTTTGTTATAAAATAGAAACACTATCTGGCCATTACCATTTTGCTATTTTTTAAAGCTTGCTGTGAGCAAATTAGCTGCCACATTTCCTATGTCACAACAATGACTGTGTAAATATAACAAATAACTTACGCTTGCAATTGATATGGTCTACACTGTCCATTGAGGGGGTGCATCCACTCAGCATTTACCCTGTCAAGCCCCATAAGAATCCTAAGTTTCAATGCAATCATTCTTCAATCTTCTCTTACTTCGATGAGCAGAGTCCCAACTCGTTTAGCCTTCGGTCATAAGACCAATCCTTCCACACCAGGGATCGTCCTAATGATCCTTCTTTCAACTGCCTCCAATGAAATGATGTCTTTCCTTAAATAAGGGGACCAATGTTTCCATGCTGTATGACTCTATAATTCTAAAACTGCTCACAGTATTCCAGATGTGGTCTCACCAGCATCTTGTACAGTTGTAGTAAGACTTTGTACTCTTATACTCCAACCCCCTTTGAAACAAGGGCCAACATTCCATTAGCCTTCCTGATTACCTGCTGCCTGTCTTTCATGCACAAGTACTTTCAAGTCTCTTTGTATTGCAGTTTCCTGCAGTTTTTCTCCATTTAAATAATATTCTGTTATTTTGCACTCCCTTCCAAAATGATAAACTTCACATTTTTGCATATTATATGCCAATTCCCAACATTTTGGCCATTTACTTAACCTATCAATAGCTCTCTGTAAATTGTCTGTATTCCTCATACAACTTACCTTTCCATTTATTTTTTGTCATCTGCAAATTTGGTGATAGTACATTCACTTCCTCCCTCCTAGTCACTAATATATATTGTAAACAGATACAGTCCCAGCACTGATCCCTGTGGAACCTCACTGGTCACAGGTCACCAATCTGAAAAACAACCTTGAAACCTCACAAGCTGTTTCCAGCTCATGAATCAAATCTCTATCCATGGCAATATACCGCATCCAACACTGTTGGATCACTGAATATCTTTAAGGTAGACATAGATTCTTGTTAAGCAAGGGTATCAATGGTTATCGGAGGTCAATGAAAACTCGGAATTCGAAATCCAAACAGTTCAGCAGGGGTTTTACTGAATAGCAGAGCAGACCCAAAGGGCTGTATGGCCAACCTCTGTTCTTAATTCGTATGTTCAAAAGCAGCAAGTGTTTCTGAGCTGGTGATAAGCATAAGCGTAAAGTGAGGCCAACAGGGCAAACATGCCTCTGTCAGTCTTTTGGCGGAGCTATCCATTTAGTCCCAATCAACAACTCTTTACCAATAGTCCTGCAGCTATTTTCTTTTGAAAGTCACTCGTTACCTACTTCCTCCATCCTTTCAGGTAATGCAGGACTAATTTCCTGTGAGAAAGAAAAATGTTCTCATGTTTCTGTTGGTTCTTCTGCTAATTATCTTGAGTTTGTGGCCACCAGGCTCGGTCACCAATTTAATTGAAAAATGCCCAGGCACAGTTTAGCATTTGGATTTCTGAGTGGTGTTGATTCACTCTATACTTTTGTTGCCAGGTGGTGTTACTGATTATCAATGGTCTGCGGTTTGTAATTGGTGCTCCAGGGATAGGTTCATGGCAAGTTACCCTTCTACAACTCCAGGTAACATAAGTACCATGTATCTCACTTATGTTTTTGTTATTGCCTAAGTTTTGGATAATATCACCTGACTTTGCCCCTCTCCCAGCTTATCTACTGCTGAAAACTTCATCCATGCCTTTGTTACCTTTAGACCTGACTCTTCAGACTCTGCTGAATTTAAGTTCACCCACTATTTTGTTGCCAATATCACAACTCATAACATTCTTCTGTTCCCCTGTGCTTTCACAATCTTCCAGAGCGCTGTTCCTTCGTCAGGTGAAATGGAGGTAAGCGTACAGGTACAGAATATATAGGTGCTTTCGTCCATTTCACCTGACGAAGGAGCAGCGCTCCAAAAGCTTGTGATTTCAAATAAACCTGTTGGACTATAACCTGGTGTCGTGTGACTTCTGACTTTGTCCACCCCAGTCCAATACGAGCACCTTCGTATCCTGTGCTTTCTTACAGACAGTGGTTAATTAAGGTAGCATGTGGGGTTGGTTAGCTCTGGCTGGAAGCCTGGCCTACAATGCAGCAGGTTCATTTCCTGTATTGGCTGAGATTGCTGTGGATGCTGTGGCTTTCATCCTTGCCCCTTACCTGAAGTGTAGTGACCCTCAGATTAAGCTTACCACCAGTTGTCTCGCTTTCTAACGAGAATAGGACTATGGTGACTTATATCTTAATTTCAACTTTAACCTCAGTTCTTGTTTAAAATTCTTGGATGGAAGGAATCAACTTTCTATATAAACTCCTCCAGCCCTGCAACCTTTTGAGATACCAGTATTCCTCCAATTTTGCTCTCTTATACACCTCTGATTTAAATTATTCCCTAATTGGATACCAGGCATAAAATGTCTTGGGCCTATCCACTGGAATATCCTTCCTAAACTTCTCTGCACCTCTACCTCTCTCTCCTCATTGAATGATACTCCTTAAAGGCCACATACATGTTCAGATGCCTCCTTATGTGTCAAACTGTTTGATTAGCCCTTGCAAACTACTTTGAAAAATTTACTGCAAGACAGATTGCTATAAAAATGCAACTTGTTCTTGACATTATCATTTTTGCACCTAATTTCAACACAGGTCATGTATAAAATAAATCTTATTCCACTGTACCAATATTACAATTAGATTCCAATCTCAACATCGCTAGGTTCTTAAAATGGAATATTACTTTTTCACACACCAGCCTTCATTATAGACTCTCTAAATAACATGGACATGTAAGTAATGTCATAACTTGACAATGACAGTTGAGCATAATGACCATTTTTGTCTGTTTAAACTATAAATTAGTTTCAAGGTGATCATCCTAGTTCCTAGTAAATGTGGGAGTGTATATGATAAACAGAATGTGGATGTTGAGGTTTAGCACTCCGATAAATCAGAATTAAGATTATCTCACATAGTGGGTTCAGTAAGGGTGAATTTGAGAGGGGGGTTCAGCAAGGACGTGGATGTCGAAACAGGGGTCACTAAGGGTGTAGATTGGGAAGGGGGGTCTCAATAAGTAGGAATTTGGGAAATGGGTGGATTTGGTATGGATTTGGGGGAGCTTCTGAAAATCCCAATCTGGGTTGGATTTGTGAAAGCACAGAGAGTACTTGGGGCCAACAGGATAGTAACATGGCTTCTCCCTGCACACCAACATGTCATCCTGCCAGGCAATAGAATTAAAATTTGCACTGTTACTTCATTGCATTATTTCTGGAGCTTCTCTTTCTCCATCTCCTCTTCTGGTTGTTTTTGCCCCTTATTAAGTATAAGGAATAACAGGCTGTGCTGCTGTCAGGAGAGACATCTCTCAAATGGCAGTTCTCAAAGAAGATCATGGGAGTTCTGCCTGGCGACCCGGCCAACAACACCCCTTCAACAAATAATATGACAAACAAAATCACATTGTTGTTTGTGGGACCTTGCTGAGTGCAAATTAACTGCAACGTTTGCTACATTGAGCCAGCAACAAGGCTTCATGGGTTTTAAATTACTTTACTGTGGTTATGAAAGATGATATATCAATGCAAAGTCTTCTTTCTTTATCAAGTGACAGTAAAGAATTGTGTGAAAGAAGATTGCATATCGGACCCCTCAGCATTGTTGTCCTTCCTCAATGGCCCCCTCTCTCTTTGATGGCAGAGTGGAAATCATTTTGTGATCCAATTTGAGATTCAAGTCACGTATTTTGCATACTGCACAGTGTTGCACCATCATAAGGTTCCAGTTTGCTTGTCTGCAGAACTAAATCTGACAAATACAGTGTGCCACATGTTTAACTAAGCTCTGCTACATTGCAGGATAAATACCTTATCAAAATACATAGGATACAGCACAACCTAATTTGTCCCTCCTGGCATTTGTGTTCCCCATGGACCTCCTTCCACTCTATATTGTCTCACTCTGTCTGCAGATCTTTCCATTCCTTTTTCCCTCATGTGCTTGTCTAGCTTTCCCTCAACTGCTCCATTTGTTAATAAGTTTGACTTTCTAAACACTCCCTGGATAAAGAAATTTCTCCTGAATTCCTTCCTGAATTTATGAATGTCCTTAATTCTGACTGATAATTATTTAAACATCTTCAAAGTTCAGTCAAGATCTCTTTGTACAACAATTTGATCATTTAATCCAGTTTCGTGTTTTGTGAAAAAAGATTCCTGTCATTGAATCAAGTTTTGAATAATGGGTGATGTTTAGAAAGGGGGTAGAACTGAAATTGTAACTATTGTACTTGTTTGATAATTTGAAACACAGCAAATATCTTGGTATTTATAGTTCTGTAAAAGGCAGTGAACTGACAGTGAAATAATGTTGTTTACACATTGTCTCTGTCTCTTTCTTACAAAGATTGAGACTGACAGTTCAACTGCTTCTCCCATTCACCCTGCCAAACAGGTCACACCTCCCTTTCAGGTTTCCCTGCCTTAGCTCTGAATTTATGTCTTTCTCGCCTTTCTTGTCTGACCAGAACTTGTCTGGGAGACCCATAACCTGCTGTTTTGATGCCGGTGCCGCTAAATTGCTGACCATGCAACTTCCCCTCTTGACACCATTTCGTTCTCTCCTTTCAGACTCTCATTGTACACCCCATTTTCAAAACCACCATCTTCCTCTTAAAAATCTCATCCACTACCACATCCTTGGAATGTCATCAGCTCCCAAATCCATGCCTATCTTTCCTGCAATTCTCTGTTTGGTTCTCTCTCACATGGTTCTGTATAAATGCAAATCTTATTAAAGGGAAATGACTTGCTTTTGTATTAGCACATTTCATGACCTCAGCACATCTTTGACTGGTTTAGAGATAATGAAGTAGTTTTGAAGTGTAGTCGCTGTTACTAATACTTATTCTGAGATGTATTTGTTTAAATTACACCTAAACATGGTGCTGTCTGGGGCCTTGACCCATGAATTATAAAGAAAGTAGGATTTCCATGTGGCTGTTCAGCAAATCAATTGTATCGGACCAAATATGTTATTGATTCAGATTGTTTGTGCCCATAGGTAAACAGTGTCCTCCCCTTATTGCCTCTATCATTTCCTATACTTTGGTTTCTAATCAATGCCTATGGTGAAGCTCGGATGGTTGCCTTGTTACTAAAGCCCACAGCAAATTTTAAGGTAAGCATTTCTGTAAAAAAGACTTTTGTCAAGTCAATGCCAATGTCTAGAAACAAAAAAACTGCAGATGCTGGAATTCAGATAGACAGACAGGAGGCTGGAAGAACACAGCAAGCCAGGCAGCATCTGGAGGAAAGGAGCAGTCAACATTTTGGGTGTTACCCTTCATGCTAACGTCTACACTGTCCATGATGAAGTTTGTTAATGTTCTACCCTTGCTGGCTAGCCATTTGAGTTTATGTACATCTCGGTAATTTTCCACTTTTGAAAGCAGATTTTTCTGTTTAATCTCCATTTATTCGCAAATGTATTGCATTGTCCTACACTGGTTAAGTGGGTGTGGTAATATGTTTAATTTATATATTCCTAAACAGAATATAAAACAATGTGTCTGGTGATTCAAACTGCCTGAGTTCATAAGGCCATAAGACCATAAGATATAGGGCAGAATTAGGCTATTTGGCCCTTCAAGTCTGCTCCACCATTTGATCATGGTTGATATATTTCTCAATCCCATTCTCCTGCCTTCTGCCTGTAAGCCTTGATGCCCTTATTAATCAAGACTCTATCTATATCTGTCTTAAATACGTTCAATGACTTGGCCTCTACAAATTGGCAATGAGTTCCACAGATTAACTACCCCCGAATGAATAAATTTCTCCTCATCTCAGTTCTACAGTGTCATCTCTTCACTTGAGCCTGGACCCTGGGATCCTAGTCTCACCGACTAGTAGAAACATCTTCTCCTTGTCCACTGTATCCAGGCTTCTCAGGATTCTGTAAGCTTCAAACAGATAATCCCCATCCTTTTTAAACTCCATTGAGTACAGACACACAGTCCTCAACCACTCCTCATATGACAGGCCTTTCATTCAGCGATCATTCTTTTAAACCTCCACTGGACTCCCTCCAATGCCAGTACATCTTTCCTCAGATATGGGTCCCAAAACTGCTCACAATATTCCATATGTGGTATGACCAAAGCCTTTTACAGCCTCACCAGTACATTTGTCCTCATGCCTCCCAGCTCTCTTGAAATGAATGCTGTGAGGGAGCAACTAGATCAGATATACATAAATTCTTCTGTTTTGTAATGCTGCCACTAAGCCCTCCAGTCCTGAATAAATGAATCTTCATTATTTGGTGTTAACCAATCCCTGCATGGCTGGTGCCACGACATTTATTTGTTACAAGCATTAGGAGACCAACATTTTCTCCAAAAGAAGTTCTCAACCAAAACACAGATAAAGGATTGCTGGAGATTCTGTCACAACAACAGTTCAACTGACCCTATTGTGTGAATTAACGATTGTGGATCACACAAGAAGTCCATAAAAGACATTCACAAAAAGAATTCCACAAAACTGAGTCAAAACCCAGGAATTCCCTCCCTAATGGCATTGTGGATCTACCTACAGCACATGGACTGAGCAGTTCAAGAAGGCAGCACTCCACCAGCTTCTCAAGGGCTACCAGAGATGGGCAATAAATATTGGTCCAGCCAGTGTCACTCACATCCCGTGAATGACAAAATAAAGTTGAGCTTCTCAACACCCCAACATTTCCCTTCAAACCACCCTAAATATCGGCACAGTCTGTTGGGCATGTGCCAATGTTAATCTCTGATGAATGAACAGAACATTAGTTCAACAGTACCAAAGATTGGGAAACTGGTCTAAGAGAGGGGAAGACAGATGCTGTGCTGAAAGGAGGTAAAGGCAATGGGGAAGAAATGCACTGGGGGTAGTTGAAGAAAGAATGTGACTGCTTTTCATAACCAGGTTGAAAGAATGATACGTGGAGGAAAAGAGAAAGAATCTTATTGTGAAAGGGACTGAAGGAGATGCTCCTGGTGTGGACAGAATGAAATTTATGGGCATGTGGGTAGGATTGGGAGGGTGAGAAAAGGCCTGTTGAAGACTAGGACTATCCTGGCAAGTTAAGAACAAGAAATAGATCCAATAGATTAATCTGGTGTCGAGACGGCAAATTCTGACCTTATTGGGTTCATGTCATGAGACAATTGCACTCTAAGGGCTGAACTTAATGCTCTCAGTATGTCAAGTCTTGGTGGCAAGTGGGGACATTTAATCAGGCACAGGGGTAGTGGAGGGATCACCATGGTAAGTAGGAAGCATGTCACCTTTAAATCTCCACCTCAATTAAGTCTGTTGTGGGAAATCAGGCATATGAAAGGCTGTATGAGGTTACAGAGATGAGATTGGGCAAAACTATGGTGGGATTTGAAAACAAGGAATGAAACTTTTAAATTGAGGCACTGCCAGAACTGAGAGCCACTAAATATATGAAGATGTATTTAAACAAAACATTGCCTAATTATCAGAACAGTTTTACTTTCTACTTGTATAAACTGCAAATATTTCCCCTCCATAAACAGGAAAACTGGATTGAGACATGGAGAATGTTCTGGGCTACCATACGAGGGAATGCTCCTGCCCTAAGTCAAACTTCTAGTCTACTCCACAATCTTTGTTCTATTACAGTAAGGATCTCCAGCTTTCTATGTAACATCTCAATCTACCTTCAGTTCTAGAGGAAGATTTTTGTGACCCAGTTCTGAGCATATAGTAACTGAAAATTTGATTGTAATGGTAATGACATATTTTGTGCATTTCATTAAAATAACTTGCAAAAGTGTAGTGATCTATAGGCAATCAGAAATATAGATTGCTACCTCCAGTTTAATGTAATTCACACTTACAAATGTGTTTGAACAAGGTGTTGAGAAGCAAATTAAATATTTTGTTTCAAGAGTTTGAGCGAATTATTGTTCACTGTTTTTATTTGCCAGTCTTTAGCAACATACGTTAATATCTTCGAGCTAATGGTTATTCAGACTTTGCAGGTCTGGCAGCATCAGTGAAGGAAAATCAGAGTTAATGCTTCGGTTCCAGTGACCCTCCCCGAGGCCCTTTCTTCACAGATGCTGCCAGACCTGCTGAGCTTTTCCAGCAACTTCTGTTTTTGTTCCTGATTTACAGCATCCACAGTTCTTTCAGTTGTTATTCAGACTTTCTCCATTTAGGAGTAGATAAGACTGAAGACCACACTTACATAGAACAATGAGTATCTTTTGCATTTAGTCACTAATTAGATTGAAGCAACAACTTATGTACATCATAAAGTGGGAAAATTTGGTTTATAGTTACATGTGCTGTTTCTTCATATTGGTAAGTGAGTAAAAATATATTGAAAGTTATAACTGAACCTCAGGAAGCTGGAAGGGAAGTTATAGTTCCTTAGCTTTCAATCATATATCTTAGAGAGAGCAACAAGAACTTGTACTTGCATTGTGTCTAACCTGAATTTTGGAAATCTAAAAGCATTGCACAGTGAATGAAGTACTTTTTACAGTGCCTGCACTGTTGTAATGTAGGAAACTACTAAAACTGGTCTCAATAATGGTGGTCATGAAACCATTGTCAATTGTTTTAAAAACACGTGTAGCTCATTAATGTTCTTCAGTGAAGGAAATCTGTCATCCTTATTCATCCTGGCCTACATGTGAATCCAGACCCGTAGCAATGTGGTTGACTCTTAATTGCCCTCTGAAATGGCCTAGAAAGCCATTCAGTTCAAGGCAATTAGGGATTGGTAATAAATGCTGGCCTTGACAGTGATACCCACATCTCAGAAAATAATAAGAACATAAGAACTTGGAACATGTGTAGGCAATTCAGCTCCTCGATTCTGTTCCATCATTTGATATGATCACAGTTGACCTCATCTCAGCCAACTCCACTTCCCTGCTTGTACTCCATAACACTTCAACCCATCATTAATTAAAAATCTGCCTATCTCTTCCTTAAACTTACTCAATGTCCCAACACCCACTGCACTGTGGAGTGATGAATTCCATGGATGTTTCTCCATGTCTCTGTTTTAAATATGCTACCCCTTACCCTAAAACTATGGACTTTCATTCTAGATTGCTCCACATGAGGAAACATTCATTCTTTGTCTACTTTGTCATCTTTAGCATCTTTTATACCTCTACTTGATCTCCTCTTATTAAAATACTGCATTTAAAAAGAAACACAAGAACTCCCTTGATCTTATTCAACATGGATATCATTGACTTCTACCCAAGAAGGCCTTCAATTAGCTTTTCTTTCAGATTTATTTTAGATTTTCTGCTGAAGATTCTGGAGTGGAATTTAAAACTCTGTCTTCTGACTCAGATGTGAGAGTATTAAGTCACATTTTCCAATGAAATGAATCAGTAAAGATTGTTAAAATTGTTAGTACCATTGATCCTGATGTAAGATCACCACTAAGAGAATGCAATCTCGAATGTGCACAATTACAGTTCACAGCTATCTCAAGTAGTAAATAAAAACCGAAAAAACTGCGGATGCTGTAAATCAGGAACAAAAACAGAAGTTATTGGAAAAGCTCAGCAGGTCTGACAGCATCTGTGAAGAGAAATCACCACCAGCATTAAAGCCTGTTTTGAGATTACTCTTGTGCCAGGTCACACCAGAATAAATCTCCTGGAATCCACAGAAGGCTGCAAGATGCTTCTCTTTGATTTGAGACTGGTGTCCCTTCTATTGCTGACTGTGGTAGTTCACATGGTAGTTCAACCTTTACCCTCTGCTGACCAAATAAAACTGGTGATATTCCATTGTTTAAGAAAGGTAGCAAAGGCAAGCCAGGGAACTAGAGGCCAATGAGACTGACATCAGTAGTAGGCAAGTTATTGGAGAGGATATAACCAACATTTGGACAGTCAAGGTCTGATTAGGGATTGTCAGCATGAATTCGTGCATGAGGATAGAGGAGGGTAGGGCAGTGGATGTTGTCTGCATGGACTTTAGTAAGGTCTTTGACAAGGTCCCGCACGGCAGGCTAGTCATGAAGGTTAGGCTGCATGGGATCCAAGGAGAGCTAGCTAATTGGCTTCAGAATTAGCTTGATGGTAGGAAGCAGAAGTTGATGGTTGAAGGTTGTTTCTTGGACTGGAGGCCTGTGACTAGTGGTAAACCATAGGGTTTGGTGCTGGGACCTTTGTTATTTGTCATTTACATAAATGATCTGCATGTGAATGTACAAGGCACGATTAGTAAGTTTGCAGATAGAACATAGAACATAGAACATAGAACATAGAACATTACAGCACAGTACAGGCCCTTCGGCCCTCAATGTTGCGCCGACCTGTGAAACCAATCTGAAGCCCATCTAACCTAAACTATTCCATTATCATCCATATGTTTATCCAATGACAATTTAAATGCCCTTAAAGTTGGCGAGTCTACTACTTTTGCAGGCAGGGCATTCCATGCCCTTACTACTCTCTGAGTAAAGAACCTACCTCTGACATCTGTCCTACATCTATCACCCTTCAATTTAAAGCTATGTCCTCTCGTGCTAGCCACCACCATCCGAGGAAAAAGGGTCCCACTGTCCACCCTATCTAATCCTCTGATCATCTTGTATGTCTCTATTAAGTCACCTCTTAACCTTCTTCTCTCTAACGGAAACAGCCTCAAGTCCCTCAGCCTTTCCTCATAAGACCTTCCCTCCATACCAGGCAACGTCCTGGTAAATCTCCTCTGCACCCTTTCCAATGCTTCCACATCCTTCCTATAATGCGGTGACCAGAACTGTACTCAATACTCCAAGTGCAGCCGCACCAGAGTTTTGTGCAGCTGCAACATGACCTCATGGCTCCGAAACTCAATCCCTCTACCAATAAAACCTAACATACTGTACGCCTTCTTAACAACGCTATCAACCTGGGTGGCAACTTTCAGTGATCTATGCACATGGACACTGAGATCTCTCTGCTCATCCACACTACCAAGAATCTTACCATTAGCCTAGTACTCTGTATTCCTGTTACTCCTTCCAAAGTGAATCACCTCACACTTTTCTGCATTAAACTCCATTTGCCACCTCTCAGCCCAGCTCTGCAGCTTATCTATGTCCCTCTGTAACCTGCAACATCCTTCCGCACTATCCACAACTCCACTGACTTTGGTGTCATCCGCAAATTTACTAACCCATCCTTCTACGCCCTCATCCAGGTCATTTATAAAAATGACAAACAGCAGTGGCCCCAAAACAGATCCTTGAGGTACACCGCTAGTAACTGATACAAAATTAGGAGGTATCATTGATCATGAAGAAAGTTATCAAAAATTATGGAGGGATCTTGATCAGATTGGGAAGTGGACTGAAGATTGGCAAAAGCAATTCAATACAGCTAAGTGTGAGGCGTTGCATTTTGGAAAATCAAACCAAGGTAGGACTTATACAGTAAATGGTAAGGTCCTGAAGAGTGTTGTTGAACAGAGGGAACTAGGAGTACAAGTACTAGTTCGTTGAAAGCAGTGACACAGGTGGACAAGATGACGAAGAAGGCATTTAGCATGCTGGCCTTCATCAGTTGAGGAAACGAGTATAGGAGTTGGGATGTTACGTTATAGTTGTATAAGTCATTGGTGAGGTTGCACTTGGAGTATTGTGTACAGGTTTGGTCTCCCTGTTGTAGGAAAGACATAGTTAAACTGGAAAGTTTGCAAAGAAGATTTATGAGGCTGTTGCCAGGAATAACAGGCCTGAATTATAGGGAGAGGTTGGCCAGGAGAGGACTTTATTCCTTGGAACATAGGACAATGAGGGGTGACCTTATTGAGATGTATAAAATCATGAGGGGCACAGATAGGACGAATGCATATAGTCTTTTTCCCAGGGATGGGGAATTGAAAACTAGAGGGCATAGGTTTAAGGTGAGAGGGGAAAGATTTAAGAAGGATCTGAGGGGCAACTTCTTCACACAGAGAGTGGTGTGTGAATGGAATGGGCTGCCAGAGAAAGTGGTTGAGGCAGGTACAATAGCAACATTTAAAAAACATTTGAATAGGTACTTGAATGGGAAGGGTTTAGAGGGATATGGACCAAATGCAGGCAATTGGAACTAACTGTGTGGGCACCATGGTCAGCATGGACCAGTTTGGGCCGAAGGATCTGTTTCCATGCTGTATTACTCGATGACTCTATTATAAATTCCACAGATTAACTCACTACGAGACTAAAACTCACATTAGTTGCTCTAATCCTTTTAAAATACTTGTAACATAGAAACGTAGAAACTGGGAGGAGTAGAACATTTAGACCTTTGAGTCTGCTCCACCATTCAATCTGATCATGGCTCATCCACTATCTCATTGCCATATTTCTTCTTTCTTCCTTTGATGTCTTCAAAATATAAAAACAAAATCTCTTTCTTGAATATATTTAGTGATTTGGCCTCTGCAGCCTTCTACTGTAGAGAATTCCACAAGTTCACTACCCTTTGAGTGAAAAAATGTTTCCACATCTGAATCCTAAATGTAGTACCACTATTTCTTAAGACTGTGACCCTTGGTTCTAGACGCCCCAACCAGAGAAAGCATTTTTCCTGCATCTAGACTATCTAACCCTGATAGAATGTTATACTTTTCAATTGGATATCCTCTCATCCTTCTAAATCTTAGT